ATGAGAAAACCCATTCTTCTTTTTTTTAAAAACTATCCTCTATAGATACTGCTTTCTTGGGAAAAAATATTACAATGTAGAGTGATCATTAATTTTTTGTTTACAAGTGTCGACAACTTAGTTTGAGTTTGCCTGCTAGTTTCTGTTCATATGTCCTCATTCGCTGGTATCATTCTGCTGTTTCAGGCTGAAATTTTGCATGTTTGCTTTTTAAATGGGGCTGATGTTGCATGTGTGTGTGTCTGTGTGTGTGTAGCCAAAATTAAACTTTTCTCAAAGGCATTTAATTAACATATCTAAAAACCAAATAACAGCAAGGCTTACTAGTCCACTCAGACTATGAAATTAGTTCCAGAAGAATAGCGCAAAGGTAACATATGTTCATTTAATATTGTAAAGCAAAGGTAAGTGATATACTTTTCTTTCAAGTCCAGCTAGGGCTATAGAATCACAGCATGGCTCAGGTGGGAAGGGACCTCTGGAGATCTCCTAGTCCAATCCCTCTGCTTAGAGCAGGCTCAGCTAGAGCAGGTTGCCCATGTCCAGCCAGGTTTTGAATATCTCCAAGGATGGAGACTGCACAACTTTTCCAGGCAACCTGTTCCAGTGTTCTTGTAGATTTGTCACAAAATCCCAGCAAGCAACGTAGTTGCTTTATTTTGTCCCAGAGAAGACCAGAGAAAAGGTTGCAGTCAGACTCGGAATTTATTTCCTGAGTCTCCTCTTCACCAGGAGGGGGAAGTGATGTTGCAGTGAACTCTGGCAGAAGCAGACATTTATCTAAGCATTGACGGCAGGGGGGAGTCAGTGCTTCCACCCATTCCCTGCTCCCTTCTCACTTATTCCTGCTCACCAAAAAGATGTCAAAGTAGCAAGTATCCCTGTTCACCTGGATAAGCAAATAAGATGTCTGTTTGCATGTATGAGAGTATAGGCCAAATTCTGCCCTTACCTTTAAGATTAAGTGAAAGACTTATATTGTAATATCTGTAAATATATTGTGTTATAGTGTGTGATGTTTTCTTGATATTTATCCCTGGAACTAAAAAAGAGTGAACTTTATTCTATATAAAGTGTTTTATGTACAATATAAGCAATGATCTTTATCTTTGGAATTTAACTATAAATTTTGATCTTCACTTTTGTAGTGGGACAGCTGGGGAGGAGGGCACTGATCAGTCTTACCACTTTGTGTTTTATTCCCACCCAAGAAATAGCACTCTGTCCGTGTTGTCATCTTTTTTTTTTTTTTTTGTCTTGTCCAGAAGGAAGTACAAAGATACACCTTTTTCTTAAAACCAAAACCAAAACAAAACCAAACCACCTTTGAAACACCTCCATCCACCACAAATGCATGTTCAAGTTCTGTTTCTGTTAAATGATGAGCACTTATGTTGAATTCAGCACTTCTCATAAAACACTCAGCACATGCCAGGGTAAAAACTCTTAGAAAACATCTGCTTATTTTGTAGACAGAATAATGAAGTTAGAGTGAGAACACTAGAGCAATGTGATGGGAGAACATACTGAATCATGCCACAATTACACTATTGCGCATATCACCATTTATAAACCTAATTAACAGAAAAACTATTAGCTTTACATTACTTTAAATATGAAACACCAGTGTCACTTAAATATCTCATTTTGTTTGGATACAAAAACCGGTAGGGAAAATCTTTCAAATGTGATACATTTATTAAAATAAGAACCATAAAGTGACAACATTCACTTTTTGCCTGGGAAAAACAAAGATAAGTAGGAGCATGAAACTTCTGAAAGCTCTAAGTATTCCAATCAAATAACCAGAAAGGGGTGGTTATGGTCTACTAGCAGTGACCTCCAAGAACACAGGGAACTAAATATGCTGCATCTCAGCACACTGGTTTTATATTTTCCTGTTGTTTAAAAACTCCTCTTTTGATGTACACAGCAATAGGCTATACCAGTTACATGCTAGAGGTTTCTTTTCCTATGAAATTAAATTAATTATTAAACTTCCCATTATAAATGAAAAACAATTGTTTTTAGACACCATACTTTGCTAGCTGTCCCAAGAAAAACACAGGCAATAGTAAAACAGGAGACTACACTCAGCAGTAACTCAAATCTTATGTACAAATATTTTTTTTTGTTCCTATTACAAATGAAGAAGTTCTATCCCCTTTAAAATCATGCTGAACTGTGAGATTTTCTGCATTTAGCATACAACTGGTAAAAGAATATCTAAGCAGAAACAAATGTCGTATCAATTACATCAGTACACTGTGCTCTGGTGGTTATGATCACCCTTCAGTCATGAAGGTGTCATGGAATATTACACAGATGAATCCTTCAGGGGAACAAATCTTCTACATCATTTGTAAATAAAAATAAACAGACTAAACAAAAATAAACACATTTCAAAGTAATTACTTGCAATCAAAAGCAAAACAGTTACTCCAATAAACAGAAATACGTGTTTTCTTCCCCTTGCAAACACCCTCCATAAGGCAGACAGGTGTCCTTCGTAATACAGGTCATACCTTGTGAGGTGAAACCTAGTAAGTTGAATGTGACAGGACATTGCACCTACTCATTACTACCTTGGTTAAGAGGGATATACTGAATTAAGAGAGGTGAGAAGTTGGTTTAATACGCGTAAGGGTAGAATCATGTGGGGAAACTGATATTGAATAAAAATTAAAACTGTCTGTCTCAAAAATGCCAGTTACTTCTTGATATTAGAAATTATTATCATCTTGAAGAGCAGAGGTTTAATTCTAAAACACAGGAAAAGTTGTTTAAGCATAAGAAAAAACTTTTTTACTGTGAAGATGATCAAATATTGGAACTGACTGCTAAGAGAGAATTTTGGAAGATTTTCCATCCTTGTATATATTTAAAACCTGACTGGACATGGTCCTAAGCAACCTGATTTGGCTGATCCTGATCTGAGCAGGGGGTTGGAGTAGGTGAGCTCCAGAGGTCCCTGCCAACTTCAGCAATGCTGTGATCCTGTGATTGTTAGGATACAAAAAAGCTACCTTGAATGGCTGTGAAAGCCAGGGTTTTCCTTTCATGTATCAGTTCACTTTTAATATACCACATTATTAATGATGGAACCTAGGATGCACATCAAAATCCACACACAGCACTGCTTCAGCTCCCAGCACAAGAGGCCTAGCAATCTCTGTAAATATTCACCTCTGTAAACCAAGTCAGACACAATAGCAGTGCTGTCCTGAGGAACAGGAATTTGGGATTAATAGGAAAAGGCAAAGGGTTAAAGACTGTCCTTGGCTTATGCCTCCCAACACATGACCGAAAAAAAGGAAATATTTGGGCATATAACACACCCAAAAAAATTGGTACACCAGTATGTAATCTGGACTAGCCTAGTACAGGGAACAGTTACCGTATCCCATGGGACAGAAAGTTAACCTCAGAGAAATGTTTCTTTTTTTTTTTTCCTTTTTCCTCTCTTTCAGTAAATCACTAGTTCAAAACCAGATACTTTTTCATTAGTGTCCAGAATGCTTTATCCCACTCTTTCATCTCCCCTTGTTGCAATACTTAGTCAGCCAGAGAAATCATGACAGATATTGATGAAATACAACAATCTAGGGAGAGAAAGGTTTCACAGAAAATGTACAGCTTATCTTTTTATGCTAAACTTTCATGCTCACCAAATGAAAATAGATCACTTTCTTTGTGCTTTAACAACACAGGCCCAGAAGAATATCTACTAGAAATGCAGATAATTATCGCTGCAAACCTTACAATATGTTGCCTACCTTTGTCATCATAACAACATTTCCCATTTGCCAGCAAGATATTTTGCTCCAGGTTTTCTTTAAAATCACTAAAGAATCATTTAAACTCCCTCTATCTTTATATTCCTGGAGACAGGGATTCCCTTTTCATGAAAATTGCATAGGAAAAAAAAAGTTTTAGAAGAGGAAAAAATTGTGAACTACAGCCAACATTCATATCAACCAAATGGTCTGGTATAGTACCTAAAGCAAAAAAAGCTTCCACTCAGAAGCTAAATTCAAAATGACCTTGTGCTTTTTTCAAAAAGGCTGGCAGCTGAGGTCATTGGAATAAATTGTAATAGACAGTGCTTCTCTCTGCATAGTTAGAAGGCATGTCTAGTACGTGAATTACCACCAAGTAGGGGAAAAAAACCAACAAAAACACAGCAAAGAACATTGTTCCATTTCTTTATAAAATAATGGTAAATATAATCTACAATAATTATGACTTTAATGAAATAATGTAGGTTTTCAGCAACTGTATTTCACCATCAAGTATGTTCTACCCTTTTCAGTTACATATTCATAAATTAATCCTGTTCTTTATTGGCCTCTACTGTTAACAGCATAAGCATCTGTAACTATATTTCCCCAGCAGGCAGATCCCAGCTGCACAGAATATTATGTAGTGTTTTTTAAATATATAAATTGTAGCTGTGTTAAAGCTCACTAAATCACTGAGTCAAAAACAATGAAATGGAAAAGAAGCTGGAACTGCTAGTGAGTGTTTTAATTGAGATTTAAATATGCAAATTGAAAGCAAACTCCTCACTGTTCTCTTTTGTAAGGAAATTGTTAACAGTAATTTCAGAAGAAGGCAATTTTCAAAAGGGTATTTTTTTCAATTCATTCTCTTGCAAACACATAAGCAACCTCTGTCAAAGGATTTTAATCTGTCAGTAGGACTGCATGAGTCCTCAACTTGTTTCTAGAATAGCAGCTTTTCACCGGAATATTTTGATCGACAGATTCTTATTTTTAACATCTGTCTTTTTTGGGAGCAGCTTAATGTTAAGATGAAAAATACACTTGGGGTTTAAAAGCAGGTGGAAAAACTCACAGTTCTGACTAAATGAGAACTGCTTCTAATCCTGTTTTCCACTGTGCCTTAAAGCATCCTATATAAAGAAGAAAACACATCCTGTCACTTCTGAAACATTTAAAGAAGAAAAGGGGGGGGGGGAAAGAGTACATGTAACTTACCGTTAAAGTTTACTGCCCGGATATAGCTAAGTAGTTCTTTACCATCAATTGCGCTCATCCTTGCACATAGACCAATATATCCAGAACAGAGATCTTTATGCATGTTGTGTAGTGCATAGGCCATGGAATATACTGCATCAATTACAAACTGAACTTTTCCTTCTTGCTCATAGGCTGAATCTCTTGCAATTCTTTCTAAGCCTAAGGAAGAAAGAGAAAGAGTCAGTTTACTTCTATTTGTGTGTGTGTGTGTGTACGTGCATGAGTATTTACGTGCAAAAATTCACAGTAGAACATAAATAATTACAGTCAGATTGATAGGTAAAGTTAGGACTCATCTATCCGTCACCTAAATAAACAAGACAAGGAAAAATATGGCCATCTGGTTTTGCCTCTAATCATTGTACACTGTGCCAGGTATATAAACAGTATGTTGAGTTCTGGGCTGGGAAAGAGGACAGAACATTTCATTACAAGAAAAAGAAATATAGATATATATATATTTCTACAATCCAGTAGAAAAACTTTCTTTCCACCTTATTGACTTTCGTTCAACAGCTGTTTATTGTTATTTATAGGACACTTCTACAGCAGCCTGCCATTCTGTTTTAGAAAAATTTAAGGCTACTTTGATTTTTATCCCTGTCTGTTGTTTGATAAACATTATTTAAACATGTCAGGAAAAAAAGCTGAATGCTTGCCAAGTGATGTGGCCATCTGTCTCCATATTGAAAAGTGCTTATTCTGAGATTTTTTTCCTGTATTTACTAGTGAATTATGGTTCACATTGAAAACCGTGTACTGTCTGCTATTTCCTACAGGGACATTCTTCCTTCAGAGGGAATACAGAGCAAATCAATACATTATGAAATTTTGATTCTGTGGGAATTGCCCACATTAATCATCTATGTCCAAATCCAAAGAATCTTTTACATTCATAGGTGATAGTACTAAGTGGAAAAGTTAAAAAATAAAGTTCAGGAAAATTATATTTTAAGTAGACAACCAACACGAAATCCCATGTCCTATATAGGAATTCAGCCACTGAATTCAAAGGCTCAAAATCTTCATTTACAAGGGGAAAGAGGACTCTGCAGATCTCGATGTGAAATCTGCCCTGCTGAAATCTACAGTCAAGTTCCCATTGACTCAGTGACCACAAGATTAAATACCTAGGTTATCTACCAGATTAACAGCTCATTCAGTTTGAAAAGAATCCATTCACATTATTTAAGACTATTTAGAAATGAACCAAAAGTTTATGCAACTTTTTTTTTTATTTTAACATTCCACAACTTATTTTTTTATGTTTCTTTTTTATCTCTAAACACAGGCTTTTATCAGTTCAAGATATCAATTTTGTTGTATCCAAGTTTTTTAAAGTGCATTGTTTATGCTTGAAAATATACTGTATGCAAGATCTTTCTTTAGACGAAGTATGCAAGCCCATATGACATGAAAAAAAAAAGCCAGGGAGTCTACTCAGAAGCCTTTCTTCTGTTTGCCTGCTGCACTTCAAGTGCCACCGTCTCACATTACAATGATAACATATGAACAAATTTGTAATCTGACAATCAGTAGTGTATTGTGCTTTAAACATCCCTGAGCACTGGGAGCGATAGATAGCCTTGAAAAATCATGATGTGCTTTTATTTCTCCTCAGGGATTAGTGAAAAAAAACTAAAATCACTACCTCTTGAAAAGATACTAACCATTTGGAGAGGAAAGCATATAACTCATTTTTGTGATTTGTTACAAGTAACTTCATAGACACTTTTCAAGACATGCTATCTAATGATTAGCAAACAATTAGTAAATCGTGCGACTCTACTGCAAATAAACAAACAGAAAAACTTTTCCTTGCACATGCTGAAAATTACACAATTTGTTGCAATGGATTTCCCAGACATAAAAGAAGATATGAAGGATGGAAGAGATGTGCCTTCATTAGATTGCAACATTATTAACTTATTTCATTTCACTTGGGAAATAGCTTCCAATGTTAAGCGACGGGTAGAGCTCAGGATCCCTACCTTAATTGTTCCTGCCTTGTTAAGGACTGCTGGACAACAAGTGAAGGACAGGGTTTACAGACCTCCTGCAGGCACACAGCGCTCAATAACCTGTATGTGCTCCCAAGAGCTTCCTCATCCTCTAAACAAGACGGTCAGGGCAGGAGGAGTTTGAAGGACATATATCCATTTTAATTGCTAAGCCAAATGTAATTCCCCTCACACATCAGATGGATGGATGTGTATGTTGAAGGGTGGAGGGTTGGTGAAAGACAGAAGGGAATGATTTTCTATAATAAATGCTAAGTCATAAAACACTAAAATTTGCAAACACTTATGTAAGTGCATTGTACTAAGTGGTACAGGTTTTTAAAAGGAAAAAAAATCAGTATTACACCCCCCTTTGTTATACTGTAGTTTAAACACACATAAGATTTGCATAAATTTCTTCTACAGCGTAACATTTTACCTTTACTCTTCACAGATATGTGATAATAAACTACATTATCTTATAAATTACAGAGAAAAAAAAATGAACTTATTAGGACTGAATGTTCCTTACATAAAAATGAACTTATTAGGACTGAATGTGTTTCCTTACATACAAGATGAATACCTCAGAATTATCAGTTTGAAACCTGTCAAACCTAGAAGGCAATAGACAAGAAGAGTCTTTGTGCTTTGCATAACTACAAGAAAAACAATAAATTGGATTATGTGCTCTTTCTTTTTGAGGTTTCTCTTCATCTTCTCTTTCTAGAATTCTCAAAAATCTAAAGCAATAATTTATAAAGATGACAAGAACTCATCAACTTAAATTACATTACACTGCCCTAAATAAATTTTAATGTACAGCAGTAAAATGATGCATATTGTCTAAGCCATAAATATGGTCAGCTACTACAGAGATAATATTACGTTTGGAAGACATGGTTATAATTTTTCTTCAGACTTGTATATCAAGTAATAACAGTTTCATTTATAGCTTGACTCTGAGCTCTACAAGGCATGCTTCTACACATACTGCTGACTTGAAAGAATATAACAATTTGTATCTCGTAATAGAAATGCTTTAATGCTTTCTTCATGATCATTTCAATTTCTCATCCTACAGTTTTTCCTCTGGAAAAATTGCTTAGGCTGTGCCTTCATCGGAAAGACTGAGATGTTCCCCGCTCTTGAACCTGGGCACTTGATACCACCATGGTCTGACAGTGTGTCAAGAACTGAGACAAGAACTGGGCTCACACTATCCCTCCCTATTCTGATCTCCAAACAAAGGAAACCCAAGGAAATGTGCCATAGTGCTTTCCAGCAGGTCTTCCAATCCAGCTGTTGAGAAATGCAAGCTTGTGGGGAATTTCAGCAAGATGTCAAGACTTTCCACAACCAATGGAGAAAATACATAGATACATGTACTAATGTTATCATCTTGGGCTAGAGAAGAGCTAGGAGAGCTGTAACACTAGGCCAGGAATAGTGTCAGCTGTTCCTGGCTCCTTCCATTTGAAATCTCTTTTGGGAACCCTCGAGTGAGCACAGGAATGATCCTATAAGAGCCTGTACATGTGAAAGTGTTGCTACAGCTGGTCTTGCACTTCCTGAGCAAGAGTGACAAGCTGGACTGTTGCAGGAGGTATTGCCTCCATACCTTCTAATCATTTCCCCCTTTGTTTCTGTAGTTCCTGTGCTGCAGGAAAAATTGTGCATCCGGCTCAGGATGGTGGAACTCCTATGACAGGGAAAGATAAGGAGCATAACAGTAGTAAGGTAAGATGTGGATTAGGTCGATAAATGGATGTGGCTGGGGCTACTAGTCTGGGGAGAAGGTGAAGCAGGTAACATTGTTAATTCGCCAGGTATGAACTGGGAATCAAGAGATTTCAGGGAACATAATCAAAAGAAATTAGGCCTTTACAACAACAAATTAAAATGTATCTTAATTAAAAACTTAATAACAGCATACAGTAAGTAAATAAAGATTAATGTAATATAGCTAAGATAATTCATGATGGTGATGATATCACCTGTGGGATACAAACAACTATCTTAAACAATCAAAACTTAAGTTGCTGATCTCACCAACAGGGGACTAATCTGCTTGGTGATAAATGTTGCATAATTCATCTAAGTTTTAGAAACCATGTTCTTAATCATGATCTTAAAGCATATGTAGAAGTAACTTCTGTGCACATATAAGTCCATGGCAGTAGAAAAACTTCAGAGCAGAGTTCCTAGTTATTATTCTCTTAAGAATATAAAAAATTCTGAATAAGGCAAATGGATATACCTCTTTTGTAACTTGTGATATAGGGAAAAAATATTTATTTAACTGTCCTGTTTCTGGAAATTGCTGGTTCACCTAACAATTCTGTGCAATCCCATTCCTGCTGTCTCACAAATCTTTCTGTCTCCATTTAGCATTATGGAAAGCAATTTATGTAAAAGTGCAGCCTACATTATCTCTCATGATTATTTCTATAGTTTCAAGAATCCATCCCATATACCTAGTTAAAATCTTAATTCATGCTACCTGAAGACAAAAGTTTGAAGTCAAGGACCTTGTATACAGAGTTGGTTAGAGCTTCAGATTGGAACAATGTTGTGAGGGTGCAGGGTTTGAGAAAGCTTTTGGGCACTGGACAACTTTGGGAGACAGGAGTGAGGCACCATAATTTAGAGGAATAGAGATATCTGGTATAGGGATGCAGTGTGCATGGGAATAGGATCCTAATTTTGACAAAATAATCATCATAAACTCAGGTTCCAAGCTTAGAAAAATAGTGCAGTCAAACACAAGAGAGTAGGAACAGGAAGCTCCATGTAGGAAATAGGATGCTTCAAGGTGTTGTCTTGATTTCCTAATCTCTAGTCAATGTTTTTTTTTTTTCTTGTCAATCTCCTTTATTATAATTTTTTCTTTGTTTTGTCTAGGACTGATTGGAACACAACTGGCCAGCTCACTTTTCACCTTCAGTTCAAATATTGGCTCAGTATAAGGCTTCTTCCATTGTTGTGGGATACTAATTCTCAAAAGCTTATCAAAATCAAAGTTAAAAACTCAGAAAACTTCCAACTTTCCTCTCTGAAAACTCTCAGCTGGAAATTATAGACATGTTCTTTTTAAAAACTCTCACCTTTAGTTGTTGCAATGTGTCATAGTCTTTCACTTAGTTAAAATGGAAATTA